AATATTGTAATTAGATAGTAAATATATAATATCTATATTTTAAAAATATTTAGCAAAAAACATAGGTTTCTGTAAAGGTACGTAGCTTCCAATAACAGTTTTATCCGGTGGCTTACGACGACCGAACAAACAGAATAATTCGAGTTCTTTTGGTGATAATTGCAAATAACGAAGTTATTTGGTGATGATGCAATCACCATCAAAATAACTCTGGTGGTACGATCATAGTAAGCTGCCGGATAATTTTCATTATTCTTTTCTAAGTACGTAGATATTTGCATGGATATACAGTATCCTGCATAGGGGTGCAGACATAGCAATAATGCCGTAATTTGTAACTATAATCAGTTACGGCATTTTTTTTTTTTTCGTAATTTAAAAAGCAGAGGCTTTTTTCGATTTTTAACAGCTGCCCTACCTTGTTTAGTGCGTCGAGTGCAACCCAGGTTCGCATAAGGAAAGCGTTACGAATACAAAGTAAAATTTCCAATTATATTATATAATTGAAAATTTTATTATCGCTATGTTTCGCAATGCAAAAAGAAGCACTCCTTATGCAAACCTGGGTTACACTCAACACGCCACTGATGCACTTTTGACGCACTAAACAAGGTAGGACAACCGTTAAAAATCGAAAAGGACCTCTGCTGTAATTTAATACAATTACGGCAAGTTACGGCATTATGTCTGCACTTCTAATCCTGCGTCATAAATATAAATTTTAATTTACTCTGTCGGGTAAGGTTTTTTTTAAAAAACTTATTAAGACTTCCACTATTTGGCATATTGAAATACCATTAAGTACGTATGTGCGTATGTACGTATTCATTTGTTTTCGTATTTGAGTTAATCCAAATATTTTAAGTGTACGAACATTTCATATAATTGCAAATTTATTAAATTATTAATTAGTTTAATAAATTGTACAATGGATATTAGTGGATATTAATTTAATTTAATTCTTTCAAAAAATCATATTAGGCAGTGTTTCATATAATAAATACGTATGCATATCATATTCGAAGTACGTAGCTTCTATCCGGAGTGGCCACTTTAGGAATCTAAAGTAGGCCAGACTTAATTAAGTTCTCAAATCTTGCATGAATTAGGTACGTACGTATGTAGGTATGGGTCGAAATATGGACAACAAAAATATAACGTTACAAACATTAACTCTAAACTAATGATACTACTCTAACCTAATCATGGTAGGTCTTCGATTGAATAACTAGGGTCAATTAGAGCTCTAGATTATGTCACGAGTCTTAATATTAAATTACAGGATTTAGTCACTCATTCTTGTCGCTATATAGATTTTTACTTAACGGAGATTAGTGAAACGGAGGATTGCATTCAAGATATTGAACTTAAGGGGAATGTATGAAAGGAAATTTCACAATTTTTAAAAATTTACTAAAACTTATCAATTTATTAAATTCTCTAAATTCATGAAATTCAAAATTTTCTAAATTTACCCAATTTTCCAAATTTTCCAAATTTATGAAAATTTGAACTGATTTTATGGTGTGGTTTCGATAGATTCGACTTTCACAACGTACGTACGTACTGTTGTCCCTAATAGCTAATTGAAATTTCTGTGTCGCCGGCACATGATTTTGGTCTTCCAGCCTCATTGCTGGTTATAAAGAAAAATCACTAGCACTAGACGATAGTGGAATCTTATAGAAGAATTTGACCCTCTTAAAAATATCATTGATAAATTTAATTCCTTTTTAATGTCTTTTATTATATATAATAAGAGTATTTACTTAATCAATCATGTATAAGGATTTAACAGCTACAAATGGATAAAGAACTTTATTTATTATTTGAACAGCTTCAGGCGCGACGATTATCGTCCCCACATAATCTTAATTTTCTTTAAAACGTCTCTTTCGATTTTATATTCTATTATCTCGATCAAAACGTCACCTTTCACATGAAAAAAAACCCATTACATCCTTGAGTTATGTATTTCAAGAAATAATGGTGCCTCGTGATCTATGAAAACCTACATGATATTGTTTTAATATTGCTAACTCATAGTTCGTAAGATCGTAATAGTTAGATTGATTAAAATTTCATAATTAAGCAAGGAGTAGTTAAATAGAGTAATATAGCATTCGATTGAATACATTTTTTATACTACTTATATATTGCTATTTTTATAGAATTCATCGAAAAACACTTTTGTATTGCGTCTGTTTAGTAGCCAGGACAACTGATTAAAAAATTTCATTAATCATAATAATTGTGCACCAAGTCAAAAAATTATACAAATAATAAAGTTTTATTTATTTAATAAGTTTCTTAATATTGTTGTTATAGACAGAATCTTGGCTTATTATCTTTATTCGACTGTTATTATGAATCTTATAATGTAAAAAAAAAGTTAGCCGCATGCATCGAGCCTATTAACGACAACATTAACGGTTTCTTGTGATGAATCCAGCCCGAAGATGCCATATTATGTATGAAATCTGTAAAAAGCATTGCAATCATATATGTATTTTGTGATTCTTTTTTTTCTAATCAAGAAAACATGGTTCATAGACATAGTTCAATTATTCGATCTTAAATTATCAAATTTTCGTTAAGAATATTATGCTTATACCACATTTTATGTTGTTTTTTTTTTTGTCAAAAACGAGACCTATGAAAAGAATCGAAAGCAAAACACTTCACTATTTACCAATAAATTTTTATTTAATTTCAATTAATAATCAAATTTCTTATATTCCCATTTAGCACAAAGCATTCATGCAAATACAGATGGATAAAAATAGTTGGTTATAATAATAAAACAGCATCATAACTTCCCATGTGATTCTATCTTTGAATAAAATTCGTTATTCATCAAGCTTAATAAAGTATGCCCATTTAAATCCAAACCACGGCAAAGGCTGCGAGATAAATCACAGCTCTAAGACTTCCATCTAAACAAGTAATAGATGCACCCGATGTTGATGTTGGTAATGGAGCGTTTGTCGGACTTCCTGAACCTCCTGAACGAGTTGATGTTGTAGTAGTGAAAGTCGTAGTTGGCTGAGTCGTAGTAACGGTAGGGGTACCTGGTGTTGTTGCTGTTGTTGAAGTCGATGTAGTTGGAGTTTGTGTTGTTATAGTAGTACGGGTCGGGGTCGACTCTGAAGGGGTTCCTATTAAGTAGTTTTGTCAAATATAATATTTTATATTAAATCATATTTGCCATGTTTAACATTTTTCTTTTACTTTTTTTTACCTCGAGTTGGTTCAACCGTGACTATCACAGTTGTAGTAACAGTTTCAGGCGATTTACCTTGTCCTTTGACCCAACCCCCGTTTTCGGTGGCTATCATGAGGACGAATGCGATCATTAAGAAGATATAAAATAGTCGCTTCATGTTTGATTTTTTGTTGTGCAAACACTGTTGATCGTTATAAACTTTGATGAGATCAAAAAAAAAAAAAAAAAGATGTATATAACGACAAAAAAATGAAACAAGCAAGAAAGTGTCTTTATGTGTTGATTTAATCAACTCTACTTATGTGTCTTTTTATACTGTTATATCGGAATATTTTGTTGAACAGAATTACATATGAAAAAAATAGATTCTATTACCTGATGAATGGAGTGATGAATATGTAATGATGATGTTTGCTTGTCATAGTATAAAGTCGGTAAACTGCATCATATAATTATGACGTTGGTTTAAAAGAAGCTAATAAATTAAAATGATACAGTATTAAAATAAACATGTCATATGATTATTATCATTTCAAGAGTTGGCGTAATTTGCAAAAATAGATCTTACTGACGAAATTATGTTCTATCATATGGGTTGTTGCCCAGCAAAACCATGCTTAGAGTATATAAACAATATATACTCTAAGCATGGTTTTGCTGGGCAACAACCCATATATAAAATTTTTATACTATAAATATAAATTAAAAGAAAAAAAAAAAAGATAATAAAGAATAAACGATAATAGTTTGATATAAAGAATTATCAAAAAACAAATGTAGTCTTGGCAGAAAAAAATATAAACAATACCGATACTGTAACCACTTTAATAGCTTTAAACTTATATAGACATTCATTATGAAAATAATGACAGCTGAATTATCGGTTTTGAATTACGCAATTACAGTAGCACCATCGATTGGTTAAAATTTAAGATGGTAGATTTGTTTGATTGCTATAACGATAAGTACTTTTTAATAAGAATATCAAGAATATCATAATATACAGTAAATGTTACGGCTGATGCTGAAGTTTGGCTGATGTTGAAGCTAAAAAATCTGATTGGCTAAATTTTGCAGATCACC